TATGGTCTATAGACTCTATACGTCCCGAAGAGCTACTACCGTCTTCCCCCGACCACAGCCCACCCTCAACATGAGCGTTTACAAGCTATCTTTCTGGTCCGATACCATCGAAAAGATACACTATGGTCTATAGACTCTATACGTCCCGAAGAGCCTCTACCGCAGAGGTGGCAACTGGGTAACCGTTGCCCGTACCCGACCGTACCCAACTGTAACCGGCAGGTTATGGGCAGGTACGGGTACCCTTCTGGAGGGCGGCATTGGTATGGGCAGGCATAAATTTTATTTGTGGATTTCGGGTCAGGCACGGTTGCACTGCGTGGAGATCACGGGCAGGCATGGGCGGGTACTGGCGGTGAAACGGGAAAAACAGCAGGTATGGGTGGCCAAGGAAAAAAAAAGCATGGGTACAACCGTTATAGGGTGGTGAAAAAGAAAATCAGATGGGAATGGGCGGGTAAGCAATTATGTCGGGTAACTGTACGTAATATCCACCTTTCCCCCCTTCTCCCCCTTCCCTTCTTCCCAGGAAATATGCAGACTGGCGGAGCTGTTTTTTTCGTAGGGACAATTTTTTTTCCTGGCGCGAATGGTGAGAAAAATATTTAAGGAAATAGCCTCCCAACTTCGAAATTGGCCACTTTCGAAATTGGAAGGTTCCAGCCTCGCCTCTGGGAGTTCCCGCTTGGAAATTGGCTGCCTGTCATGGTTGTACCCGCCGCCCTTCTGTGTGTGCATGCCACTGCATGGCCATCGTCCGCCCGTCGTGGTTGTACCCGCTGCCGTTCTATGTGTGCTGCACGACCATAAGAGAGAGAGAGAGAGAGAGAGAGAGAGAGAGAGAGAGAGAGAGAGAGAGAGAACAAGTAAGCCTCCAACCCTGTGGCTGGCCTCACGCTACTTTCATCGATAGGATGAGCAAAATCGAATGAATCTTCCCAGGAGGGCAGTTAAAGGGGATAGGGCGTGGCTAGGGGCTCTCGTGGCTCTGTCTCTTATACACATCTAGATGTGTATAAGAGACAGGTTAGGGGCGGTTGGGGACAATTAGGGTTGGTTAGGGGAGGGTGGGTCACAAGTGTGGATGGTTATGGGTGGGTGCATACAATTGTGGGTGGGTACAGGTGGGTCRGATTGAAAAAAAAAATTGGTTGGGTACGGTACAGGTGGTTAACAAAAGGTTTGGGTGTAGGTGGCCATAAGTAGTTTTAAAACAGAAAGTCCATGGGCAGTTATGGGCAGTTACAGTCTCAAGAGGTTCAGGTAGGGCAGGTAGGGGTACACTTTTTTCTTTTTTGAGCAGGTAAGGATGGGTAAAGGTCCGGTAGGCCATCTATACAGTGGGTATGGGTGGTTAGTTTTCAAAGACGGTATGGGTAGGTAAGGTACAGGTATTCCAAAAAATCCCAGTTGCCACCTCTGCTCTACCGTCTTCCCCCGACCACAGTCCACCCTCAACATGAGCGTTTGCAAGATATCTTTCTGGTTCGATACCATCGAAGAGAGGGTGTGTTGTTTTCGGGGGAAGACGGGAAGGATGGTGGTCATAGCGAAAGTCGTCCAGGGATCCTCCACCAGGGGGAAGACTTTATGCATCTTCCTCCAGTCCAGTGCATGTCTCTATCAACACTTTCTTAACCGGCTGGGGGAAACTTCTACTTTGTGTGTAAGTGTGTGGTTATGAAGTGCAAGCAGGTTTGTTTTATACGTGTTGATCTTCTTAGGCTGTTGGCTTGTCTTTCCTGCCTGCCACCCGCCCGTTTCGCTGCCAAGGCTGTCTCCTATAGTACAAGTTAGTCACTAATAAGTGTGGTACCCTCTCGCTTCGCAGTGGCTGGATGGGTGGTACGGAGACACAACTGCTGATCATCAAGAGGTCTCCAAAAAAAAAAAAAAAAAATCATCATATCCTGTTGTGTTTTTGGGTACAGGATTCTTCAAATCCATTCTAAAGGCGGCAACATCAGAAGGAGATGCCTTCGACAGTTCACCCCCTATATTTTTAAAAAAGAGGAGGAGGGAAGATGTCCAAAGCTCAAACTTGGGAAGGTCAGCTGGAAAGTCGACGGGATCTGAAGTGTCATATCAATCCCTTTGCTTAGTCAGGACTCAGGAGTTCAACAAGCAATGTCAACAAAAAAAGGGAAAAGAATTGAAAGTTGTAAGTCGAAACTTGAGACTTGAGATCCAATGGTAAAAAGAAGTTGCAAGTTGCAGGTTGAGACTTGAGACTTGAGATAAAATGGTAAAAAGAAGTTGGAAGTTGGAAGTTGGAAGTTGGAAGTTGGAAGTTGGAAGTTGAGAGTCAAAAATTGAAGCCGAAGGTTGTCCGTGGCTCCAGATTCGCTAAAAGCAAACAAGGAAACCTTCGAAGAGAGACAAGAACAGAACAAAAAAGAAGGAAAAAAAAAGACGACGACTTCGGGGAACTTCCCCGCTTCATGGATTTTTCTTCAGGGGTGAGGGCCACAACTTGCCTGGACTCCTCCTTGGTTGTGTCATCTATAATGGTAGAATACAACGAATCTGGTAAGAAACGACGAATCCCGTAAGAAACGATGAATCTGGTCGAAATTTCTCGAAGATGAAGAATCTGGTAAAAAACGACGAATCCGCTAAAAAGACGAAGAATCTGGTAAAGAACATTTTTTTTTTTTTTTCAGGGGTTGGTGGGAACACACCCTGCCAGGGAGATGTACTTAGGCACTCGCCATCTCACTCACCCGTTCGGCAGAGCAACTTCGGCATCAAGAAATCCTGGATCTACGAGCCAAGCTTGGTCGTCAGTGTCCTCGCCGGGCTCGCCCGCTTTCGTCGTCGCCAGCGCTGATGCTCCCTCATTTTCCTCTTCGAGAACAATACGCCTTTCTTCTACGTCGACCCCTTTGGCCTTAGTCATCCCTTCTTCCCCCTTGCGGACATTTCCTAGCTGCTGCATCTGATGCTCACCCTCCTGCTGCCGCATCGTGTCTGCAAACCTTGCCACGTCATAACCGCAAAGACAAACGCCGAACCGGAGAAGAGCCCAAGTTGCCCTTGTGGAAATCGCATTCCTTCTTTTTCTCATTTTTGCAAATAAATTGAAATTAAAGTTTGATAGATTATTAATCTTAATTACTTAACAAGCTGTGTTACCAGCCAGGCAGCCCGGGTTGCATCAGATTGGCCCGGGTGGCCTGGCCGGGCCAGGTCCAGGCAAAGTCCCGGCCAAGGTCCTGGGCAGTCCCAGCGCAAAAAACAAAACAAAACAAAAAAAAAAAATCTCTGTCATGCAGAATCGTAAACCAAACATCTTTTGCCTGAGGGTGACTACGAAATCCGCTATGGAATCCGAAATAAAAAATAAAAATAAAATACTAAATTATATCATACCCTTTACGCCCCTTCGAGCCCTTTCGAACCCCACTTATATACCTCATAGTCACGCTTTGGTGAGATATCACCAAACTCAAAGATAAGGCCAGATTCGGGCACGTCTCAGTGGCTGCAAAATTTCCTCACTGCAGAAGGAAAAATAAAAATACAAATTGACCCCCCGTGCAAGTTTGCCCGACCCCGGCCCAGGCGACTCTGGTAACATAGTTAACAAGCCATTAACTCAATATTACTCAATGATAAACAACATTAACCAATTGGAATTTGAAACTATGAACTAGTATATACTGTATAGCTTGTTGTTTAGACATTCCGATTTCAAATTAATAATGATTAATTACATAAAAAACAAATATTAAATTCTACATGCATTGGGCCTTCCACCTGAAGCACAAAAGCTCTCCAGAAAGTCAAATGGTGAAAATGCAATCCAAGGAGACATTTTGGGAGGGGGCTGTTACACTGTTACAGTACACTCGAGAGATTTTGGGACAGGATGGTTCCATCTGCACCTGTATGGGAAATCAAATACAATACGCTCACGAGTCAAGAGTCAACAAGACGGTGACATTTTGGGAGGGGACACTTCGATTTGCAACTGGAATATTTACAGGGGTATAATCAGAATAGCAACCATCAAACTGTTCACACGGAGGACAGAGCAGACTGCAAAACTTCTCATGGAAATCGCTAAAAAAAAACACTCACCTCATACCGCGTTCATGTACGCCTTCCCCTACGCGTTCCGCCTTGCGCGTACAGCAAGTCTCTTCAGGGGGACCCAACCTCCACCACCATTAGAGGGACCAAACTACCGTAGTTCCCTCCCTGGCTTTATAACTCACCTCACTTCTTCACTACTTACACCTCTCTTTCCGTCGAACCCTATCCCATCAGCGTCCGATCACTCTCACTATTGAGCAAGTGCCAACCAAGACCGTCCATAGTCATGCGAGAATGGGCTGGCCTGCTTCCCAACGTAAATGAGCACACACAGCAGCGCATTTCCCATCTATCCCACAGGAGCGCTGGAGGAAAGGAGCATCGGCATCGCCTTCGACATCCTGGATTATATGCCTGATTTCCTACTGTACCTGGTCAGAACCCCTAATACCCCCACTCGCAAGTTTACTCACAAGTTACCTTCAGGTTTAGTAGGATCCAAGGGTCCATCAGTTTTGCTCAGAATCTCTAAGCCCTGAACCATCCAATCCCCCTAATTTCTCGGGGAGTCGGGGACCTTAAATCCGCTTAAACCGTAAAACCCTAAACAAGTTAACGACTGAAGGACACAGGTTTAGGAGGAGGATCGAGCACAAGTCGTTAAACAGGGACTCCCACTATTTTTTCACCCCTTGGGTAACGGACGGTTCTAGAACTGAAATTAGGGTTTGACTCTTTGACCCTTTGAGGTCAAATTTTATACCCTTTTATAAAGTTTTTTTTTTTTTTTTTTTTTTTTTTTGGCCTGTTGTCCACTCCCTGAATTGGTGGCAAGTTTGGTTAAAACTTAAAAGTTAAAAGCGCACTTGGGTTTTTCTTATAAATGGCACAATAAATTGTCGAATGTTTTTTGTCTCCGTTAGCCATCTCTCAGATCTATGGGTCCCGATAATCCTTAACCTGTTTCCATCAGTTTCGCGGAAGTCAAACCCGTCCCCTCCGTGATGCCACACTTGAATTTTCTTTGAACTTTCAATTCAATATCTATGTTCATCTTGTCAATTCATATGAGTGAGTCTTTTGACTCTTTTCGCTCTTGGACTTTCGACATGACAAGTCATTGTAATCCGGACGCTTCACTCACACAGAGAGTAATATAATAAAATATAATAATATGTATTATCATACTATTATGTGAATACTACTACTTGATAGCTTAAAGCCTTAACCCACCAAGTACCTTGGCGAGGCAAACTTGTTGAGATTCTTGAGAACGGAAATTTTTGCAACAATCTGAGTTCTTTGGATGAACAATGCATTGCTGGACCAAAATGGATGGCGGCACCGGGCAGAAAAGAAAAGGAAAAAAGGGAGTCGCTGGGGGTTCGTTTTCCCTTTGCACGCAGTGCAAATCTGCATCAGGAAAACGAAACTCAGATTAACTGGTGGTGTAATACAGTAATCTGTTCATTAAACTTTATTAAACCTCACAGCGTGTTTGGATTTTCCTGACAAACAAATGTTTAACCACAAGTTTCAGCCTAAAAGTTAAGTTTCCTTCCTGAACTCTGTATAGCTTAAACCATGCGAGTTAAGAAACGTAGACAAGGCAAGTCGTGGTTCGCCTCAGATGTAACAATGCAAACATTGCACACTAAACGCGGCTATATGAAAAACGGACAGTAATGCATACGAGATCATTTCCCCACATTTTTTCTCTTTTTTTCCGGCATTTTTTCCTATATTTTCCTACATTTTACATTCATAGTGATGCTTACGACTCTTCAACTGGCTATTGGCTATTGGCTATTGGTTATTCGCTACGGGCAATTGGTTATATGCTATCTTGATACAGGCAGGCACGAAACAGCCTTACAAGTGTGACGTAAGTGCAAAATGGATCCAAATGATGCAACCAAACCATGACCACAGAATCAGAATACTTGTAACTTTGATGAAGCATGAAAGAGATATCTCTGCTGCACACACACACACACACACACACACACACAC